AGATCCTAGCGCAGGAATCAAAAACATCAACGCGCAAAGCTCTTGAGGCGTTTTGGATAAATTTCAAAAATCCAAAAATGAACCGGAAGGACGAATGCCTCACTAACACGCGTGACCTGGCGCCCTATTTCAAAATGATATTTTGACCCCGGGGCGTGTCTTGCTCGCGTAAACTACGTGTCGGCCAGTCCCGCACATAACATCACGGTGAGTGACCTTTCTGTTCAATATGGCGTCTATTTGAAAGTTTGATCTTCATTAATACCTTAACCTTCTTTTCCACCGAATAATAAAAAGTATTCTAACATAAAGTACGTCCAGGCTCTGAGGAAGGCGAAGTCGCCGAAACGTCAGCCATCGATCAATAACATCAAAAACAACGACAACGACAACGAAGATCTGTACCAACCTCGCGTCAGCTTAAGATGATCAGTTTATAAGATCACATAAATAAATATATCAACTATCTATGCCGAGGTTCATAGAAAGTCGGTCTTTCTAGTTATTAAGAGAACTCAGACTGATATTCTAAGGTGGGAGACGCACTTTACCTATCCCTGTCAACTCTGTGCAGTTGGCTCAAGGTGTAAACCTCTTCCGAAGTTTTCGAAGACTCACAGAGAGCGGTGCGGTAGGTGTGTGAAGAACCCGTTTTGTTCTGTGATATTGAAATTTAGGTATCGCGGTTCCTCTGTTAATGTTATAAAGGCTTTTCGCTGAATAGATTACAATCAACTTCACCTTTCTAAGCTCTGAAGAGAGCGAAATCCACCGAAACGTTGGCTTTTGTAAATATAGAGTACAACAAAACAACAAACTTGCGTGTGCTTATGAAGAAAATGGCAATGGACCACCATCCATAATGAAGACGAAAACATTCAAGCGAAAAACGGGTCAAGAGACAGATCGCATCCCAGATCAGATCAAATGATAATGTCTTGGACTTTAGTCTTACGAGATTTAAACAAAGAACCTAAGCCTCTGCGACTCGTCACAGAATCAGGAAGTAACTCAGTCCTCAATCAAACTTATGGCGAGTTATTTGGCTCCGAAAAAAAACCGATTCCAAAGAAACTTCGATAAAGACGGCACGTTCTTATTCATGAAAAGGGTTAGAACGGCAACAATCGTTTTTCGTCGTTCAGTGACGTACACGTATTTCTTTGGACCTAATTTCCTTCATTCTTATTACAATTACTACTTCGTCAGATCAACATACTCGATCAATATACTCGTAAAATCGAAGTTCTGGACAACGATTACTGAATTTCCGTTATATTCCGAGCCGTTCATCATCAAACATCAAACTAATCGATACAACATCTCACAAATGTGTAATTATTAAGCGATCGATTAACTAATCCATGATCAAATCACTTCTAGCCAGGCCCATGAGGGCAATAAGTTCCACAGAACTGATCAAATAAGACCTAACGTAATACAAAATGGAAGTTGTTTCACAATCACAAACAAGATATCATTCCGATCTATTAACTGTTACCTACAGATTTATTACATGCAAACACGGAACTGTTCTATTGGCACTAAGGAAGTGAAATTATGCACAGACACATCTGAGTTGCCCCGCTACACCAGTAAACTCTAGAGTAAAAGAACAGGAGTCGTCAAGAGAACGTCTGGACGAGTCACTTATGATCCTCCATGTTGAAAATTTCGCTATTGTTTTCACGACGATCCAATGCTGCGTTCAATTCGTACAATATATCCTGAAAATGCCACACTGTAGTACTTATAGGTGCTTCATAATATTGAAAAATAATCGGCACAATGTAGTGGAATACACGAGTATTGATCGGTCAACCATCAGTGCTACCAATATCAAAATGTATTCTATCTTTGATAAGCGTCAAAACGTTCACCTGTCACCTGTAGTCCCGTAGATCATCGAGTGACTAGAGCGGGCGCCAGTAAATCTTGCATTTTCCCTGTCGCGTACAAGAGTAGCACAGTGGGTTCTGGTCGCTCTAGGGATTCGTCGAGCATCACATCTATCTTCTAGACTCTTCGTGAAGAACTCTGACCATCGGGTCGGCGGTCATCCTGCAGTGTGTTTGACATCCGGAAGAATCCAGTCACTAACGCGTCTTGTCCATCGGCTGTCATTGATACCCATTACGTGTCCGGCCCACTTTATCTTCGACTGTTTGGCGTACAGAATAGCATCTTTGATTTTTGAACGTTGACGCAGGTCGGAGATTCGGATCCCCTCCCTTACTTATGTGGAACGGGATAGTTCTAGCATCGTCCTTTCGACTGTGCGTTCGATAACGCTGAGTGACCTTTCATCCTGTTTACGCAGCGACCAAGTTTCCGACGCATACGTCAGGGCAGGAAGTACCGTTGAGTCGAAAAGGTAGGCATGGAGTCGGGTGTTCTTTGTTCTCTTCACTGCATCCTCGATGCTCTTGAAAGTTACCTAAGGCGCTCGTTTCCTTCTGGTCAGCTCTGCAGCTAAGTCGTTCAACGTGTTGATTTACCGACCTAGATAGACATAGCTAGAGCATTCGGAGATATTCGTTCCGTTGAGCGGGAATGGGGCATACGAAACCAATCCGTTCCTCATGAACATCGTGTTTGTGAGATTTAGTCGAAGACCAATCTTTCCACATGCTTTATCAAAGTCAGCAAGCATACGTTCCGCTTGGCTAATCTTCGGTGTTATAGGGAAGATGTCATCAGCAAAGCGAAGATGGTGTGACTGCCGACCATCGATTTTCACTCCTATATTATCCCATTCCAATGTTCGCATGACGTTCTGGATAGTGGGGGTAAATAATTTTCGCGAGATGGTATCGCCTTGCCTAACTTCTCTTTTGACGTCAATGTTAATATCGTTGTACGTTGTAGAATGCTGATACCTTGGTTGTGAAGACGACAGACAGCAAGCAGATTGGGCGATAGTTGCCGATATCGCGTAGGTCACCCTTCTTGAACAATAACACGGTCTTCCTGGTCTTCTACTGAGTAGAGACCTTGCAGTCGGACAGGTAACGGGTGAAGAGCCTAGCCAGTGTATTTACGAGTACTGGCCGAAGGTTCTTCAGGTGTTCTGGTCTTATCCTGTCCAGACCTGGTGCTGTCCGATTTTTCACCGACGAAATGGCATGTCGGATTTCGGAAGAGAGAAGTGGTGGCACAACACATCCATCGTCCTTTATATCATATGGCGGAAGGTGGACGTGGCTATTGAAGAGATCTGAGTAGTATTCGTGAATGATTTTCTCCATTGTCTTTCTGGACGTTGTAACTGTTCCGCCTGGGCGTCGGAGTGCAATCATCTTGGTCTTGTAATTGGCTAAGCTTCGGTGGGCTTTGGGAGTGCTTTTCCCTACCTCTGCAGCTTCGACCATTGCTGTTGCTCTTCTCTCTTTAAGATCTTCTTTTATCGCGTCTCCGCATTGTTTTGTAAGTTCAGACGTTAGTTCGTGGTTGCCAGCAGCTCCTGCGATTCCAGGCAAGCGTATCACCTCGAGTGTTTCTGGAGACAGACGGCTCTTGGTGACTTTCGAGCTCTCAGCTTTCATTGCGCTAACGTGAAGATGTTGAATGAGCCGATCGTACCCTTCGTCGATGTTATCGACAGCGGTATCTTCCCAACAGCCGATTAATGAATTGAATAAGTCCTAATTTATGGTGAATCTGGAACTTCTTTTTTTGAATTTAGCGGCTTTTTCTTCTTTTGGAAAAATAGAATTTTGCACGAAGGAAACGGTGGTCTTGTTCTGTATAGAATTTTGAGTCAACAGCGACATCAGTTAGCCAAAACCTATCTCCATTGGGAGACTCCCACGTCCACCGTTGAGAGTGGGGCTTCTGGAATTGCGAGTTACCATGGGTGGTCTCACTCGTCATGACAAAGTCAGGAAGCCGCTCACCGTGTTCGTTCCATTCTAATCCGTGGGTCCCAATGTGACGTTTTCCCGACGTTCTTCTTGGTCCAATCTTGGCGTTGAAATCTCTAATGATGACCTTGAAGAATGTATGGTTTTCTCAGTAGAAGTTTCCCAAGCCCATACAGGACGCTTCGACTTTAAACGTAAACGCCCGAATCTGGTTGTAAGCCGTTCGAATAAATAGACGTTCGTGGACAAATTCGTGTTGACGAGAACCCCGACGCCGACGACTCCTCTATTACCGTATGATCCGAGGAACAGTTCTTCTCCGATGTCATAGACGGCGTTGAATGGGTGGCGTCTTGTCTCAGCCAGGCCCACGGCGTCGTACCTCATCCTTCTTGCTTACATGAGCAAGTGTACGTGCACTGTATGACAAATAGTCAGCATAGTTCTTTGTAATCCAGACAGCTTCCATTGACCCTGAGATTTTTGCAGCCTCTCCATACTCGTCTTACCCCAACGCTGCGAAATTGGGGGCTCTTCGGGGTCAAGGGAATAAAGCCCGTTTTTTTAACTATGTTTAACATTTTGACACCCACGTATAGCTTGTTGGGCTCGGAACGAACGTGGAGTTGGATATACTCACGGGTAGCTTGCCAGTGTCTACCAGAGTGGACATGGAGCTAATTTGTTGGAGGCGACTCCCAACCGCCTTCCATATACTTACCTGTCACTTGATTGCAGGCTTTTGGCAGATGTGACTTATAGAATACATTCCGCATAAGCGAGAACGCATCCACACACTCATGCATGAATACGCCTAGCATATACAGAAAGCATGTGCCAAATCAGCGCAACAGAAACAGGGAGTCCATCCCCTGGATCCGCCTGCGTCTCAGGGAAGTAAAGGTCGCTTTTGGTCCGCAATTAACCCCCTATCCGCCACCTGGGGATGCTCCACGTAGCCTCGTGACTAAACGACTCGGGATCTCTCATATGAGGGAGAACTATAGGGCAAAATGTTAGCCGAAATATATCTATTCGCCAATCTCGTGGAAGCTCATCACAGAAAAATACGTATTGATTAGACACACCGAGGCTAAAGGAAAGTCGGTTTTTTAATATTGTTATTGCTACCAATATCATCAAGGGAGCAATCCATTCTAGCATTTCAGCTCACCGTAAAATTCTTCCGTTTCGCCTCTGAAATTGGTGTTGTGCCAAAGTCGTCGGTGACAAGCGGATCCAGACCTTCACCTATCAGATAACGTACCGTCTCAATTTGGTAGTGAGACACTGCCTGAAATTACGTTGATTGTTGCTGACATATGGAATCCATAGATTAGTGTATATGTGGAGAATTACTAAATTAATCATTCTGTTAGTACTGACCACATGTAAAGCTGTTCTCTGATCATAGTCGGTTTCGGTAAGTTTACTGCCTGCGGCCTCCCAACACTTTAGCTGGTCAATATCACCATGGGCTGCCGCCAGACAAAGATCCACTCCTTAAAGAGTAAAACCTCACAAAACACCATAAATCAAGCAAGTTCGATTGATCGATCCATTGTGGAAATCTTCGTGTACGAAAGTGTTGCAAGTTTGACAATATGTAAGCCATTTTTTGCGATATAATTAAAGCACATTGTTCAGCACAAAAACCATAAAAGCAAAGAGTATTACACGATATCGAGTTTCTATGAAGACTTACTTGGGCACAGGAGCTCGAAAGATAACGTAAAGTCAAATATTCGAAGATATGGCAGTAATTTGAAAGAAAAAAAAATCAGTTGTTAAGTTTTTATTTACTGCCTATTGCAGTTTTTCACGGTAGGCTAATATGTGTGACACAACCACAGTGGTGCTGAGATATTTGCAAAACCCCGGACCGCAGGTGTCTGCGGTGGGTAACGGACATGATATTAGTCTTTCGGGGACTAACGCGTTCACCACCACACCATGCTGATCCTTGGCTTCGCCTGTCTCTCAAAATGAATTGTATGTGTCACGATCCTCGCACGCGAATCAAGAACACAGGCGCGAAAAACTCTCGAGGCACTCTGGATTAATTCCAGAAATCCGAAAATGAACCGCAGGGAAGAATGCCTCATTATCACGCGTGATATAGGGCAGTATATAAAACTGCTTTTCTGATGTGAGGGGCACATTATACTTCCACGTGATTTCTGTGCGGTTGGTCTCTACGTGACATACTTAGTGGAGACCTCATAGAAAGCGGTGAGTGTGCAAAGCTGTGTTCAAAGTGATTGAAATCTTGGTTTGGGGTTTCTTTGTTTGGTTATGGAGGCGTCTGGCCGAGTGAGTTGCTATCAGCTTGACCTTTCCAGGCTCTGAAGAAGGCGAAATCCGCCGAAACGTCAGCTTGAACAAAGAATAGTAACACCTCGCGTTTGCTCAACAAAAATACGAAGAAAATGAATTGCGTTCGAAGAAATCGGAGGACAACTGTCTTTAACATCGTATGCTGTGGTAGATCCTAAAGTGCGTAATAGACATCCTGAAAAAAATAACATACCAAGTTTATATCGTGGAATATCAATGATACCGCCAGCACTTCGAATCACCTCAACACATTTGAGTGCTTTTGCTTTCACAGCACAAAGAAGTGGATTATATCCGAACAGATCTCTATAATCTTTCCACTTTACTTAATCACAGTGGCGAAAACATGAGCCATAGATAACTCATAAAACTAAGAAAAAAGGTAACGAAAAATGGGGCACTTACTTCACGTGTACATTGACCCCGATGCTCAGCAAATATTTTACAGAATCAATATTTCCGTTTGATGCGGCGACATGAAGTGCAGTACGAAGATTGTAGTCAGGATTTGAGAAATTCACACCAGCTTCCTTAAGAAAGAAATGATAATGATTCGAGACGTTCATCGTACAGCGACCAGAGATGATCAGCAAGGAAGAGGCTTGGAATATACCTATAGCATATCCGTTGAAACGAATAGATACTAAATGGATGGTCATATTGTTCATTTCCGTCCAGTTAATTTGTTCCTTATTCTTCTGGATAATAAACTGTTCCCTTGCGGCTTACTACAGCTAATGAAGTGTTAGATAAACTTCTCAGCAACGCAAACGATATCCTGATAACTGGCAATGAATAAAAACTTTGACCGTAGTTCCTACTTAGTTCCGGTCAGTTTCGCAGCGAAATACCACTGTACTAATTGCTAAGTTTATCAATGATGATGAAAGAGGCAAAGCCTTCAGCGTCAATCTAACCCTAAGAGGACTGGACATGGAAAAATTGTTTAGTCCAAGGAATGGAATCAAACCAAAGCCTCTGGTTGTATTGTAGGACGTCAATAACTGCCGTGCTACACGTCTCCATTAATTTGACACCGTGGAAGAGACCAAGAAACAAACTAGACGAACCTTTATACGTTTCAGAATTTCCGGCTTGTTCGTCTTTGCTGCATCACAGAACAAGGGCGGTAGAATTGTGTCCCTGATCAGCTGCACCTCATCACCAGACGAAAGTCGTAAACACTTTGCAATGTGAGGAACTGAAAACCACTTTTATTTGGCTAAAATCCTAGTGAACTCATTTTTTTACTGGAAAAATAAAAGCAGGACTAACTGATATCGAGTTCACGAGTAAGAATCGATTCATTGGTGACGGTCATTTCACCACGTAGGTTTGATCGAAGCATCTGTAAGGCAAGTTTTTAAGCCGAAGAATTGTTATAGAGCAAAATCGATACATATATAAGAGAAGAATAAAGAAAATGTCCGTCAATAGAAAACGCCCAGAATAAACGAGTTTTCCAACAAGGGAAGGTATTTGAGATGAATGAGAAAATGCGATATAGGATTGTAGAGGAAACAGTCCATGTGGTTGACGCCCTGTTATTTTTCCTCTTTCTTCTGACGGACAAATTCTGGAAGGAAAATTGCAATAAGAAACAAGCCCTTCTGATGAGATATCTCGATGTTTTCTCGATCGTACCATTCTTTTAGTATCCAGATCCCATTCGTCTTTACCAAGTACATAACATAATTTAGTCATGGCTGCTTCAGAGGTCATGTCTGAGCCAGAAATCACACCAATATCGTAAAGAATCTGTAATATTCAAAAATAAATTTAATATGAGCTGGTTCTTTAAAAAAAACCAACGTAGAAAAACAGATGGAAATTCAAGAAAAGTATGAATTTAGGTGTTTAAAAATATCTCCTTTAGTAACAATAGCGATTAGTAATTCATAAGGTCAAGAGTATATCGATAGTACTTCATTCAAGAAGTATGGCTTCAGCCGGAACAAATCTAAACACATAGAATTCTAGACGATTCCACTCAAATCGAGTCGAATTCGCATCATAATACGGCTCAGAGAAAGGCAAAACAAGAGCCTCCATGGTGCAGTGTGTAATAGGCGAACCCCGGAAGGGTAATCGCGATTCGATTTGCGCTTGGGTCCAAATTTTGAAAATATCTCAGCAACATAATGTTTGCATTTCTCATCATACCCTGCCGTAAAAATAAAAATAAGCATAAATAATTTAACAATACATGATAATGTGTTGTTAATTATGCTAGTTTAGGAGGCAGATAGCACAGCGATAGTCATTTCGAACATCTCGACTACGGTCCTGCTTCGATCTCGCGCCGAGAACGCCAAACCTCTTATCCCTCCGGAGTGGAGAAATTTGTGCTAGACCTGTACCGTACTGTAAAATTACTATACTGTACTTTGTACTGTAAAATTTGTACTACTATTTGTCTAGTAAAAGTCTATCTATGCAGTAAAATCGGTAGCACTCTAGCCTGGTAATCGCAGAAGTTGAGGGTGAATTGACTTGGCCAGCATTCAACGACATTTCATGACGGAACAAAAATATTCAAGCAGCATCCGAACCCGCACAAGAAAAGTTCGAAGACTTTTGTGGATGATGAATATTTTCGCTTCTTCTATGTTTTTACTAAGTGCTCTACGTAAAAGCCAGGCCACTATTGACGAAATCCAAAAATCGTTCCCTGCAGAGCTTTTCGTTAAAAACTTTTCAACACTTCACAAGAAGTGTTCAACTGGATACACACAAAGACGGACTATAAACGAGAAAGGTGGTTTTAACTTTGGCCAATTCAGACTTTTTCTTTCAAATCTCTACATAATGAACAGATTTTTTCATGATGGTAACGAAAACCACTTCTTAGGTAACAATATTAAATATTCTATTTAGAAGATTTATTGATTAATTTTCAGCAAATACATAAATTTACAGTCATGGAAAAATCAACGAGAACAGTCATGACTTACTTTTCCCGTAGCATAATTCACGTCGACCTGGCCTTTCAGACACTGTGAACAGTTAACCACCAAACATCCACGCTTAATCGCTTCCTGAAAAGCTGGCTTTTTATTTTTTATAAATTACCTCAGAGAAGGAATAAAAACTGAAGATAGAAGAATTGTGGAAAAACTATAGAAAAACAATTGGTTATAAAACTTTCCTCACAATTTTCTACACGATTGAGCGGAAATATAAATCGATAGCATAAAAATTTTTATTCCGCTAACGTTAAGAATGGGCGCTGGTGGCGCAGTGGTTGGAGGCGGCACTGAGACACACACGTGGAATCGATCTCCGTGTTCATGGCCTGTCAAGCCTTCCATCCCTCCGCAACCGGTAAATTGGTACTAGGCCGGTCTGGGAGGATAGCAGCGATGGCTCGATAAATCGGTAGGCCACCGCGAGTTATTGTAAAGGCCAGATATGCATTCATTCACCTCCAACGATAATGAAGACGAATGCATGGCGCATCCTTCAGGAATTGATCAACGCCGAGAGCTTTATCCTTCATCATCTTTGACGTTACGGCGCATTGGATTCAATTTAAAAAGACTTTATTGCTTAAAGCACCCACGCTGTCAGTAAATTAGAAGATAGTCTTTCGAACAAAGATCGACATCTCTTTTAGTTGTGGTTAGTTAACAACGATGAGCCTGTTTATGGCTGTACTGATCACAAGGTCTGACTGCGCTGATTGATAACCACCGGGTTTTTCTGTCAAAATGATAAGGGTAGTGAGGCGTATGATTATAACAAGAAGGATTTTCAAATTTTCCTACACCAAACAAAACGAAGTTTCGAGATGAAAAATCGGTATCTCTACTATTTATTCTTGTTCAACAACGATACACTTTGGCAGTTTTCTTGGGGCAATATTATTCCCAGTGTTCTCATATCCAACATTACCGTAGCCTTGTAACAACGGTACCAGTTAAATATATCCAGAAACCGTTCTACATTAACGGTTACGGAGCATATAGTTTAGGTGCTTCGATTCTTCCCAAAGTACAGAGTCTTAGCAAAAATCATTTATAGGAAATGAAAGCTAGTGGTCATTGAAAAACTGTACCGCAAAATAGTTTACTTACTGTGATTGCTTCAATGATATCTCGTCGTTTTGTTGGCATATTACCAGCGCCGTACGTTTGTAGTACTACCCCTTTTGTTGGGGGTTGTAGAAAAGATCGTACCTTTAAATATTGAACATCGATTAATTCCCAGATAAAAATAACGAAAAGTCGATTATAATCTATTACCGGTACAAATGTCATATTATTTTCACATTAGTATATGGGTTTCGGGTGGCGCAGCGGTAGTGATCCTTTTCAATACAGGCCGGCTTAGTTTACCTAAGCGCTGGTTTGAGACTGCATCAAGCTATCCAAGCCTCTCTTCCTTCAAGGGTTCGAAAATCGGTACCATACGAGTGGAAGAACCTAGGTCCCGTCAAAACTCGAGCGAAAGCCACAGCATGGTCATTTCAGGATTCCAGGAAGCATCGAATTGGCGATGATCCAACGACTTTCGTGACGAAGGCGAACAAACCCTCAAGCACCACCCGAACCCAAACGTAGATTGAGGTCTTTCGCGGATTGTAGATGAGGTGAAACTAATAGAACGCAAGAAATAATGGGATCTGTACGGTATGATGCATATGATGTCGGGTCATGTAGTAATAGTAATAATAGTCGGATCATTATCAACAGTAGTAGTAAAGAAAAAGAAAAGAAAAGATACTTGGGCTTACCACAAAGGCATAAATAATCGATGAAAAAGGTTTGATATGCCCAATAATATTCACAATTTCAACATGAAGAAACCCAACGTACCGATTCAATGCTCATTGATGGGAAGATTCGTAACAGCCCCACATCTCGACAAAGATTATCGTGTACGGTGAAAGGATTCGCATTTGCACTACGGAAGATGGAATCGTAATTCACTGGAAATTACTAAATATAGTTTAAGAACACCACAAACCAAAGAAAAACATAAAAAATGCAACTGGAATGACAATCAAAATTTTTACTAGAGATGGATAAATGCGCAGTAGATACCTACATACTTCACTTTCCGAAAGCTTAATAAAAATTTCCAGAAGGCGTAAGAAGCTTTAGACACTGAAAGCGACCCTAACAGAGCTTTCCTGCTGTAGGGAATGCCAATGTATGGTAAGTACATTTATTACGGTAGATATCAATATAGTCAATAAGCCAACTTTGAAAACCACATGACAGACGCATTTCCCACTTTGATTTACTGTCACCAGACCTCTGGCGAATAATTTATGCTAGAGTAGCTTACTCAACGAAATTTATTTCATGCAAAAAAAATTAAAAATAATCTTTCCATCCATAGTATATTTTTAAGGACGCGTGTAGTGCAGTGGTTAGAGGGGCCTTGCAATACACATTGAATCGATCCCGTGCTCCAAGTTGACCAAGCCCTCCATCCCTCTGGGGTCGGCAAATTAGTACCAGACTTCTATCTGAGGATAACAACACTGAATCGATACATTGGTAGGCCACCGCGAGTTATTTTATAGGCCAGATATGCATCCAATCACCTCTAACGATACTTGATGAAGTCGGGTGGATGGAACATTCCTCAGAACTTGATCAACGCCGAGAACTTTGTCCTTTTATCTTTTATTATATTTTTTAAGACAAAGTTATTCGTTGAAGTGCAGGTCGGTAAGTGTATGTCAAAGCTGAAGATTGTAAAGGCTTAACGAGGTCAACAAGGAAAATCTGACATCCATTCAAGGCACCGATTGATCAACGACGACCGCTTCAGTACTTGAAGCATAACAGAATTCACCAATATCTTGTATCAACTACGCTCAGAAAAAATAGAAATTTTGTCAGAGTTCCTGTTAAATTCACGAAGAAGTTCTCGCACTACTAGTAGTGCACAATTTCGACTTTAGATAAGTGGATGGTGAACCTTAAATTCTGTAAAATCCATAGTTATTCCTGGGTTCGTTTTCTTACAATCGCCATTCACAAAAGTTGATTTAATTTTTGTGCTCGTTCGATTGAGCACAATTTTCCCTCCAATACCGAGGTTTTACCAGGTTTTCACCGCAGGTAGTCGTTTGTCCTTGTAGACCGAAAGATTTGCTGTCTTGCGGATCGGGTTCATTCAACACGCTTGCAATTCCTATCGCAATAACAGTGCATGCGATTTTTGGACCGCCCTAACAACGACGATGTAATAAGGAATTCTATTACTAGGAGACGATTTACTTGACTACAAACAAAATTACCTTCTCATTCAATTTCAATTTGTAACAATCGACTATTCACGTAGAAGAATGCGCTGCTAACCTTGAATATTGATATTCATTCGGGCTAACGGCTGCATATTAGGGCTATCGAATGCTTCGAGAGCTGCGTTGTCGAGTTTGATGGTACGATTTCCACGCATTAGTTTATTGTTAAAGTAGATGCATACCTAAAATACAGTTAACACACCACTTTTTAGAAAGAAAATATCCCAAATTTTTCCCTAGAATACGCCGATACAACTGATGAGCTGATAACATTTAATGCAGTAGTACGGTTCGTTACGGTAACAATGTTCATAGTCACAGAAAAGTCTGCCTAAGAACTCAAATAAATAAGGATTGCTACTTCCATTCTATATATAGTTCTGCTTTCTCCCAACGGTTTATCCCTCATCGTGGCTGGAAGGTGCTCTTAGGTGCTCTTAGGTGTCGGGCTGTGATCTGCAGCGAGAGGATTCATCACCCCGGCAGGGTTTCCCAAGTTGAAAAGGAGCCTGGCGCTTCTACTAGGAAACCCAGCTAAGAGTAAACCACTACCAGGATCGGCCACCGTTCTGGTATCAAATTAGTCGCATGGTGACAAATCTCTCTTTGATCCACAAGGGCGGCTATTGCCGGTGGTTTTGATGACCTGGGGCAAAGCTTGGTCTGGTTGACTTCGAGACTCCAATGAACCACAACGGATAAACTAGCAAAACTCCGAAATATGGAGATAATGCTGAGGCCCGCTCAACCAGTGAGGACGTGCCATCCAAGTATCAAAGTAAGTAAGTTCTCTAGCTGTGGAAGATGGATTTAAGTGGAACATATTTAGAGCGCTCAAAATAGTAGGAATTAATTGAATAGCAATCAAAGAAAGGAAGAATACAAGCCAACACCAAGAGCACCAATAAATAAGTAGAATGATGAGAATGAAAATGACAATCTTGAGATGTACATAATCAAGAATCCAATCATTTTAGCGCCTCCATTTGAAAACTCACCTCAGGAATGTCGTAGTTTCCAGCGATAATCAAAGCACCAATCAGATTCTCCATCCCGTCTGAACGTACCTCCGCGACAGGAATCTGAGCATAATATCATTCGTACTAAGGTTTAAGATCGTACGTAGCACAGTGGCCACAAGCAAAAGTGTACACACATGGTCCCTAGTTCATTTTGTGTCCAGTGAGAACCAAGCCCACCATCATCGCCAGATCCACAGATTGGTGCCATTTTTGTTTGTGAGAATAAAAAAACTGACTTGATGCATCGGTGTCACAGCAAGTCATTGTGTAGGCCCACTTAATTACCTCTATATTGCTTAGTAGAGGTCGCGCACATGGCGCATCCCTATGGACTATTCCACGCCGAACGCTTTATTATTTCTAATACTTTATGTTTATGATTATTATCCCTATTATCATTAAAATACCATCGAAAAGAAGCACGGGCTCAAGAAAAAGAAATTCGTTCCAAAGAGATTTCGCAAATGAGGAGGAAAAATCTACCTGACTTCCCGTAATAATCACAGGCTTTCCTAGATTTTCCATCATAAACGAGAGCGCGCTAGCCGTATAAGCCAAAGTGTCGGTACCATGTAGTACAACGAAACCCTCATAATTATGATATGCCTGAAAATTTAAGAGAGCTATTGTGAATGAAAAATGGTTGGAAAAGAAAAAAGATCACTTTTCTAATATCCGTAGCAATCCGTATCCAATCATCGAAAGTCATATCACAGGAATCTAGCAGCGGCTCATATTCAACAATCTGGAAAGCGACAATACCGTTCATCAAGAAATTTCTTTCACAGAAGAAAGGCACTTAATATTAGCTTTGTATCTACACTAACATAAAAAATCCTTAAAAAATTTTAAAAACTCTTGAAAAACTCCAGAAGTTTTCCTTTCCATTTGGATACGAATAGAGGTCTACTTAGAGAAGTGGTTTTCAGCTTAATGCACGGTTTCCCTTTTTCTATTTTCTTCTTCCTGCACTGATAAACAAGCCTTTTACTACAGCTCTTGTTTAGAGCCATTAATTTATAAAGAGCGTATGTTGGCGATCGGAAAAAAGCCTACCGTATTCCTACATTATCCATGAAAACAGTAATTTTAATATCTTTTTGTTTTGCAAATATCTCAGCACTATAGAAGTTATATTTCGCAACATGTCTTGACGTTGAAAAAAATAGGCAATGAATAAAAAAGGTTAAGATTGTGATCATAGCTATAGCCTCAGCTTAACTGGGTTCAATGCCGATTTGGGCTTCCCAGATCAATCCCGTTGGTGGGTGATTACTGATGGCAAAAGATCGATAGAACTAGCTGAGAGACAGGCGAAACGAAGGACCCGCATGGTGTGGAGATGAATGCGTTATCCCCTGGAAAGGGTAATAGCGTGTTCGTTCCCCACTGCAGACACCTGCGGTCCGGAGTTTTGCAAATATCTCAGCATTATAGAAGTTATATTTCCCAACATGTCCCGACGCTGAAAAGAATAGGCGGTGGATAAAAAAATAGTAATTTTATTTCTAATACTTCACTTTGGCACCAGGATCTACAAGGGTGAAGCATAAAAGTAAAGTAACTATGTAACTGTTTATTTGCTGCCTTCTATAATTTTTTATGGAAGGGTATTACGCGAAATACAACCACGATAGTGCTGAGATATTCGCGAAACTCCGGACCGCAGGTGTCTGCGCGGAGTTAACGTGTTCACCACCTCACCATGTGGGTCCTTCGTTTCGCCTGTCTCTAGCTTTAAAATAAACATGGTTTCATGTATGTTGTAGGAATACGGTGAGCTTTTTTCCGATCGCCAACATATGGAAACTTTACAAATTAATGTCCTTAAACAAGAGCATTAGCTAAGGGTTTATGGATCAGTATGGGAAAAAGAAAAGAAAAAAATACTAATGCCAGGATCCACCACCATCCTGGTATCAAATTAATCGCATGGTGACAAATCTCTCTCTCATGTACAAAGGCGGCGACTGCCTGTGTGGTGAAGACCACGGGCGGACTTCGACAAGGCAGAGCTTGGGACTTCAGGTAACCATAGTGGCTAAACCAGCAGAGTTAAAGCTAAATAAGGTTCTCGGCGTTAATCAATCCCTAAGGGATGCGCCATGCATTCGACTTCATTAAGTAACGTTAGAGTTGGCTGAATGCATATTTGGGCTTCACAATAACTCGTGGTGGCCTATCGACGTATCGAGCCAATTCTACTATTCTCCCAGACATGCTGGCACCAATTTGCAACCTTAGATGGATGGAAGGCTTGGTGGGCCATGTGCGCGGGGATCGATTTCATGTGTGTGCCGCAAATGCGCCCGCAACCATTGCGCCACACGCGCCCTTAAAAAAAATCTGCAGAACTCCGAAAATAATGGAAATTATGTTGGGTCCACAAAACTAGTGGGACGGTGAAACCAAATATCCATCCTAGTAATACTTTATCCTGTGCTAACGGTTCAATTCCTCATCGCCACTAACAATATTCCTGGCTGTCCGATTGCAATATGAAGTACGGAAATCATACCTATAGCAACGTCACCCATGCCGGAACGACTCCTTTATTTCCATTTGGAAACGTATTCAGAAGCAAATCGTTGTCATGGCAAAACTCGGTTACTTATCCCGAGGTACTTTATCGCCAAGGTCAGTAAAAATTAAGGGCGAGCAGAAAATGCGCTGCGCTTCGATTTCCTCGAGCAAGAGGAGTTCACTGAATGTTTTGACACGAAGAAGATGACCGAACACTTGACTGTCGAAAGTCCGAAAAGAGAACTACAGGTAACCTTTATATGCTTCCAGACAAAAGTCGATTCAACGGATGGTCCTTTTGTCTTTTTTGTAACAGATGTACGCGTTTTTATGTACGGACATTTTATGGTATAAATAAATAAATAATAAAATAACAAATAAAATAAAACAAACAAATAATAAATAAATAATAAATAGAGATGCGTTCTTGTGTAATTAGGACGCGCGTAGAGCGCTGGCTGGAGATGCTCTATGATGCAAACGTGTTCGTTGGTTCGACTACGTACCTCGTGCTCACCAAGTCATCCATCACTTCGGGCTCGGAAAAGTGGTATCGCACTCTTCTAAGAGGATGGCAGCGCTAACGTGATACATTGGTAGTCCACCATAAGTGATTGTGTAGGCCAAATATTCATTCGATCACCTCTAATGATGCCTGATGAAGTTGAACTTAAAGCAAACCCACCAGAGATTGATCAACGCCAGACAATTCATACTCTATCAACCTTTTTTGCTTTGTGTTTAACCTGCGATGGCCTCATCGGGGAATGCATTATTCAACTTGGGAACCAGAGACATCCTCAGCTCCTTCACATGATTCACTCACATAAAGGGTTTGTAAACCGAAGAAAACCGATAACAGACTATAAATTGTATCCAATTCTAGGATAAATGAAGAACAAAACTGTTCAGTGCACTCGAAACCGGTATCTCAGACTTTAAACGCAGACAAATTATGATATGCACAATTCAAAACATTATTTCATATTTTTGATGCATTATCAGTTCATTCGCATTCCTTTCTCTTTTTTTGTTGTTTCCCTTTGTCACATCAGTGGCATTTAATCTACTGAGCGTACTAATATTACTACAGATAAAACAGTTGCCCAACTCTCTCACCCAGTACACAACCCGTTTCTTCATCAACCTCACTGGCGGCAACGAGTACGGCTTCACGTGCGATTTGGCGAAGTGACTCTCGATGAAAGCTCGATCGTTGAGCGGTGGAAGCGTACGCAACACTTCCGGCAGGTAACCAGGTCTTGGAAAGTAGACTGAAAAAACACAGGCATTCAACTTCTATCAGAAATATCCATAGTGCAAGATATCTACGACCTTGTAGTTTGTCATTCTTTAAAATCTGAACTATTCAAGAAAGCCAACAGGCAGAGTATTTATAAAGTAACAAGCTTTTATTTCTTATTTTTTTTACCATGTCTCTTCAACACTTTGGGAAAAGGAACTATTGCAAGCACGGAAAAACCTTACATGGTCCCTTACCATTTCTCATGAATCTATTTCTCAATATACATCCGAAAATATCTAAAAAAAACCTAAGCTACACGTTTATTGCTCCAATAAAGCGGTCAGTAAACTTAGTTAATTATAAAAAACTTAACTGAATTGCTTTTGACACCTTCACTGGATCTTTGTTGAATAAGACGGAAGGTGCTGTGGACGATTCCTTACCCTTACGTTCATTCATTGTCCCATAGACCAGTAACCCATCTCTGTTGACTTTAAAGGTCACAATTCATCTTAGATGTTAAATAGGACAGCGGATGGCAGATGGGTGCAGTGGATTCCACACGTTCATTCGTTGTTCCAGAGACAAATAACCCAGCCTTGCCTAGTTTAGCTAATCCAATCGATCTCTTGCACCTTTAGCTCTCATTCTTTTTTACACAGGTTGAAGCCAATACAATACAGAATATAATTCGAAATAAAAAGAATTTGATAAAGAACAAGGTCCTAATAAAATTTCGTCGCACAATATCTTTTTATTCCTTCATTTTCTTTTTCAAACCGTTCACATTACACGAAACAGCGCAATTGTGCTCGATGTGAATTCCAGTCAACCACTATTCACTGAATTATACTCTAACAGATAGTTCCTTTCACCACGCCATCAAAATTCCATGATTATGGTCCAACCGAAGAGAAAAAATTTCAGCGGATCATTCTAATAATCACAAAAATCTCATGAAGGATAAGGATAAAGCTCTCGGCGTTGATCAATCCCTGTGGGACGCGTCATGAATTAGATTTCATTAAAAACTGTTGAAAATGACTGAATGCATATCTGGCTTTTACAATGACTCGCGGTGGCCTACCGATGCATCGAGCCAGTGCTATCCTCCCAGACAAGTCTAGTACCAATTTGCCGATCCCGTAGGGATGGAGGGCTTGGTGGACCTGGCGCGCAAGGATCGATCTCGTGCGTATTATAGCGTACCTCCGACCACTGCGAGAAAATATTAAGTTAGTGCACTAACAGCAACATATTGGCTCTTGAAGACTTCGCTTCATTAACTGATATCGACAGTCCTTGAGAAAAATCAAGAAAAAAGTGCTATCGCTTCTTACGTGTTTGCTATCTGAGGTCAACTAGCGTTGGAAACTAATTGGCAAAAACTATAATTCAAATCGAGAAGTCTTTTGGATCATCGTCAGTAAATGTTCAGAAACCGATGCAAGATAATGTACATTAATCAAACGGTTGCTGTAACTCTTTGTTTGTAAGGAAAAGTGGTTGCGAGAAAAATCGCACGCCCTACTACTAAGTAATTTTCAAGCATTTTCACTTATCAAAATCAATGAAGCGGCTTCGAAGTACTTGAATTCCAAAGCTGGACCTCAAATAAATTTCAGTGACCATCGAAAAAGCTGTGATGAACATTTCCAAACAAGTCGAACGAAAAGAAAAAAAGCTCATAGCTTAATTCAAAATTCCGGCTTTGCCGTGATCTCTGTATTGATCAATAAGTTACAGTACTTTCGATGAAGCGATACGACGTTAACATAGTTTTCACTTCAAAATGGCTTGCGTTTCGGCAAATCTCACGTTATTCAGAGATTTTTTTAAAAATATTGTTCTGTCTATAGAGAGTGAGACCATAAAGTAAATAAAGGTTTCAAGAAGTAGCGGAGAAAGTCGACCACCTATCCAACTAAGACAATCTTTCATCCCAAAGATGATACATCCTTTAAAGATCGAAACTCGGAATCAGCTTATCAAGAACACATTAACTCACACCTTTGCTATTTAAGAAAGTAACAACTAGTCACCTTCGTTATTTAAATGACCATTCTCCACTAAAATATGATCCATGAATACCACTTGTCTTTAACTAAGCTTGATGATATATAGATTGCCTTTGTTTTCTAAACAGCTCTAATATCTCAGGGATGCTCTAGAATCAGTCAAGCTATCTAGATAGACAGCAATCTTTTCGGAAAAATCAATCAGGAGCCTTAACCAACCTCCATTTTGACTTCTCATTCCAATGGTCCCACCCGTGTACAGACACAGTACCCTCGTCTCCGGCAACGTACGCGGCTCGTCAATTTTTGACGGAGTGATCTTAGCATCGTGTAGCTCATGAACAAGATTCTAAAACATTAAAGTAGCTAACATTAACTTCTATCATAACCAGCAGATGACTTTTTATTGTTTTAATACTATGATGCAAAAAAATTCAATTAAATGCAACCTCAGCACCTGTTCTCAAGGAGAGTCCTCAAAATGAAAGCTGTCATATTTTCTACACTATCTACTACAGTAGATGAATTACTTTCTACACTTTCTTCCATTGCTTTATCGGCTTAGTTATCATTACACGATAGAGGACCCCATCATGTCAAAAGTTGCTGGAGTTACGATAATTGGCAATATTGATTGATCGATTAGCGATCTACCCGAAAAATGCCTAGTGAAGCGATTTTTTTCGATCCGACGACTGTCTTTGAACGGAACTGATTCTCTTTGATTTCGATTTCGATTTCACAGCACAGCAGGGTAAATACGGCAGAAAATTGAATATCTTTTCAATTTTGTCGTTGGTAATGTTAATAAATCCTACACAAAACAGAATGAAACACTCAAGAGCACTAAGGAAAAATCGAACATATCCAAAAATTTGAACACTTACTAACATAAACCATGTATACAATAATCACAGAACAAGATGTAACTTGTACATGAATGTCTGAAATACTCACAAAACACCACAAGTTGGAACGAGAGAATCGTTGACGTAGGTGGCTCACCTGGATGCAGTCCCGTATGAGGGACGCCGGTTCGAACAAGCATTGCGATTCTAGCGAATAGCCAGTCGAAATGGTAGTCGTGGTAGCCAGTTTGACGACGACGTTCGACGTTGACGTCACCACCGACGACTTGCGGACGGATGCGCGGAGGGACAGGACTCAGATCACGACCGTAGGAGTGTACTGTACGGAGTTGGCAGAGTGCAATGAACCGGCGACGACCGGGTGCGCCGCGTACACGCGAACCCTTCTATAGAAAAGTGCGACCGGGCTATTTTTTTCCGTCCCAGTCATCTTTCCTTGTCGGCCACACTCCGCCGTACGTCGTCCTATTTCGTTGTCGCTCTCGTCACTCTTGACCCACTTCGCTTTCGATGTGCTCTTCGATAGCGCTTGGAGAGGTGCCAAAAGCGGCACAGGCATAGAGATTTTTCTGATACCGCGATCAGAACGGTCAATGTCATTGGACAATCTCCGATATTAAAGAGCCGATCGTGTGCGCAGTCACTGCTGATCTGTATTACGTCTGCAGAAATGTGCTGCTCTATGAACTAATTCCATTTCGAAAATCGACAAATCGATAAGTCCGGCGGCTAGTCAAGACCGTCTTATGAGAAGGAACTCGTAGCGAATCGTCTGTGACAGTAGCCATTCTAAAATTCCAGTGAAATAGGTTCTTACCTTACCATACTTTACAAAGCATGAAGGATAGAGCTCTAGACGTTGATCTATCCCTGACAGATGCGTCATACATTTGACTTCATTAAACATCGTTAGATGTGACTAAATGCATATGTGAACTATATAACGACTCTCGGTAGGCTACCGATGTGTCGAATCAGTACTACTATCCTTCCAGACATGTCTCCTACCAATTTGCAAACCCTAAAGGGATGGAAGGCTTGGTGAACCTGAGGCGCGGGATCGATTCCATGTGTATCGCAGGGCACTTCTAACCACTGCGCCACACGCTCCCTTTGTTACAATACTTACTGCAATTTATAGAATACACCGTTTTTGCAGTGTCTTTATTTTGGAGCTTTGATTTTCAATTCTTTTTTTCATCCGAAGAATTTCCTACAGCAACCATGAAACGGTCGATTTTTTCCGCCGTTCTTCTAACATATACCTTTCCCGTTTCACAGGAAAAAAAGAGGGTGCCACCTTCTGCTTCAAATTTTCCTTTGTGATTTTTTACAAATCATTCTAATCATTCTGACTATTGGAAGCATCGATGCAAATCCTTTAAAAGTTTTCAATAGATATTTTCAATATCTTCGTTCAAACGGCTTAAATCAAAAGCCTCGTTAAATTTTTTTTCGTCTACTTTTTCCCCTCCATATAAACGTTATTCCTTTTATAGAAGATATTGTGGACTTACTGTAGCGGAGACGTTCCTCATCATGGATCCATCGTGAATTTTCAGTGTTTTCGGAGTGTGAGTCTCGTCTAGTGGCTTTTTCGGTGGACTCGATACCATCGTTGGCGGTGAACCTAACAACAATAGCAGATATAGGCACAAAACAACACATATAATCAAATGGAAGTGTTTTACGTCTTTCTGGAAACCATCCGCTATAAGGTAATTCAGCCTGTTCCACTCAGATTTTTTGAACTACTACTCATAAAGTCCTTCACATAGAAAAAGTCGACGGCGTCATGGTTTTAAAACAGTTCCCTAAAGATCACCATCGCTATCTCTACACAATACTTGACCGTTCCTTCTCGACGACATTTTTTCCATATTTTAAACATTTTTTCCTGAAAGAAAACCTGCACATCTTCAACTTTTCCGCATTCACATATTCTCAAGACAACTTTAACAATCTCCGACCCGGAAACTCACTAATTTTTCTGGTAAGGTAGTGCTGAATTCCGTGTGTAGTAGTGAGTATACGCTCCACCTCCTCACCTTTATCGTTTTGTACTTGAATTTTTGGAATAGATCCAACTTTGAACATTATCGCTGAACTCAAGGAATAGTCACAGCGATACGAGCAGACGACGAAGAAGCGGAAGATGAACAAAACACATCGACACGATAGGCGATGAGGTTCGAGTGATTGCAAAAACTGTCGAGAAAAAAGACATCGATGTAAGGATCTCCATTTTTGTCTGTTTCTTTACTTAAATAATCAGTGAAATTGTCTTCATCGTAGTTTCTCAAATCTATTCATTGTTTTTATAGGAATGAACATCTTTGGTCACACCAAATTTAACCTCACAATAATATCATCTCTATTATGGGTTATCAAACCCAAAGAAAGTGGATTTATTTTTCGAGGACCTTACCTTCAGCAATCATAACTTAATCTTGGTTTTTCTGTTGCCACTCTATTATACTTAAGGCAGAATTTTTAAGTACTTAAGATCGATACTACAAAAGAAAACAGTGGTATACAATTATCATTTCTTGTTCAACTTCCTATTTGTTGT